TAAACACTGTAGGTAGCCATGTTGGTGAATAAAACTTAGTTGTAGTGATAAGGTGATAGTATAGGCTGGAATGTACCATTTCAGGTCCATTGTTCAGTAGTACTGGCTATGAAAATATTTATTTAAAGTTACAAATTGCCAAACGATTGTGTGTACAGAGGTTTGCTGTTGCGGGAAGGAAAAGATCTGTGGTGTTTGTTTTTATTTATTCATTTATACCTGTCTTTGTCCTCAATGGTTACCCAAAGTGGCCTGCATTGGCCTTTTCCGTGTTATCCTCACAACATCCCTGTGGGGTAGGCTAGGCTGTGTGAGTGGCCCAGGGTCACCTAGCAGGCTTCCATGGTAGAGGGAGGATTCAGACTTCAGTCTCTCAGGTTCTAGTCTGACATTCTAACCATTACCCCACACTGCAGTCATTATTGAATGCAGCAGTCACGAAGGTAAAATGAAGCTTACAGCCTGCATTAATTTCGGTGAAGTCCTGTTGAAATCTGCTGGGGAACTGTTGAGGTCTGCAGCCTGGGAATTGCAAATTGATACAAAACTAGGTTGTGCTCAGTTGTTCAGTTCACCAGTATTGGTTTGTGTACAGCTTATGCTCGAACTTGCCTTGTGGCTACAGATGTCAGTCTGTGGCCTTCCAAAAATACGGTAATAAGGACTCTTGTTAGGAAGTGAAATGTACTGACACTTCCTTCAGTACACTAAAAATGGTTCTACAAATCTCCCCCCCCCCATCTAGCTTAAACAGTGGAGTAGAAATATTGACTCTGCTAATACAGCTGTGGTCTTGCGAAGGCAAAATAATCCCTGGAGCTAAAAAGTAGTTCAATCTCATTTCCATTTTCTAATATGTGCTTGATAGATGGGTGCATCATTTGCTGCCTGCCTTCTTTTGTGCCTTCCTATCCTTATTCCTAATGGGAGGATTGAATATGTCAGGCGAAGTAACAGCTCCCTTGATGTGCTGTTTCATGGTGTCTGGTCAAATGTACTCCTGATCCAAAAAAGACAAAAAAGGAGAGAAAACAATCAACGCTGTAATTCCATTCCATGTGTAGAGAAAGAACTGATCTTATGTGTATAGCATTGTCATTGAAAGCTTAACAGTTCTTTTCCCTGTAGCTATAGATTTCTGCTGGGTCAGCTCCCCATCTTGTTAAATAGAAAATGATTTTTGCTCACTAGCATCTCTGTTATTTTTCATTGGCATATCATCTGACAGTGTTTCTAGTTTATTCAATTCTGTGGCTAACATTGAGGGTCTGGGATTTCTTTTGGTTTCAGTCTCAAGTATGTCTTTTCTTGACTTAGTAGTTACTGCTTTCATGTTCTGTGACCATTTTTTGTATGCAAAACAAACCAGCAATGAAAAATACTGAGTTGAAAAACCGAAGAGTGATTGCTTTGTTGACATTCTTCGATGTGAACATACCACTGTTTATAGTCTGTGGGTAAAATTTTGTCATCCAGTTACTCTGGAGGGAAAGGGTTTTTTTCTTCAACCTTCAATGCAGTGAGACTGCTAGTTTCATAAAGGTGTTGTTCAAGCCTACAAGAGTAGTAGAAAAAAAGGAGGAAGAAGGAGAAGAGAAGAGATAGGATTTATACACTGGCCTTCACTACCCAAAGGAGCCTCAGAGCGGCTTACAAACTCCTTTCCCTTCCCCTCCCCACAACAGACATCCTGTGAGGTAGGTGGGGCGTAAAAAGCTCTGACAGAAACTGCTATTTTTCAAGAACAGCTCTGACAGAACTATGGCTTGCCCAAGGTCATCCAGCAGGTGCAAGTGGAGGAGTGGGGAATCAAACCCAGTTCTCCCAGATTAGCGTCTGCGCACTTAACCACTACACCAAACTGGCTGTCTTGTAGTAACTAATTGTTTTTGACGAGTAAACTCCTTGAAGAAACATACTCATATTGTTCTCTGGTGCTTTTCAAAGTCCCTACGAATGTAAAACGTTTCTGAACATCTGAGAACTATTGTAATTGCCAGCCATGCATTGTAATGATTAGGAAGTAGGTTTATTGGCCTTTTGATTCACGCACTTAATAATGCAGTGTCATTTCGAAAGCTCATACCTTGAATAAATAACCACAGCAGAAGGATCTTCACTGTGTGACTGAAGGGTCCGGTGGGACAGCAGCTTCGTAGCTGGTTCCGCTCCTGCAGCAGCCATTTTGTGGCAGTCGTTTTGTGGCTGTGCCCCCAATCATGTTGGGCTCAAAAAGATTGGGAACCCTGCATTATGGCATTGGAGTAAAGCTTCACACGGCTTCAG